GCACCTACTCATCAACCCATATTGTAGCCAACATTGTAACGCTCAATCAAACAGTTCTAAAATATTTTAAATATACTACAATTCAAATACATTATTTGTTTACTATGATTTACTTTTGTAGCAAGCCAATCGACCTTGAAGTGTTACCTCAATGCAACTTAATACTAAAATATCCATCTATTTGGAAAAAGTCAAATTTGCATATATCTCTTCTAATATACATCTTTTTTGGATTGTATTGGATGAGAAAATTGCTAGAAAACATTCTTTCTTGGATGAAAAAGTTTTATGTGAACGTGTTGAATTATGTAAATAAATAAACATAAATCAATTTCACATGAACAAGAAATAAGCAGCAGTGCATGAATTAAATAACAGAAATTTGCTGAAAAGAGTTTAATTGCAGCTAAATGGTTCATAAATATAAGCTATTGAGGTTAAAAGCAAAATTTCTAAAACATTATAAACAGCTGTAGCAAATTGTAGCAGACAAAACTATTAAATTTAGAGATAGTTACAACAATCAGAGATGGCCTGTGAAAACTGTACTACAACAGAAAATGTAGGTATTTCTTATACAAGCAATAGGAGGAATTAATAATTACAATAATTTAAACTGCACAATTAACAAACCAAAAGATTATCTACTCTTGCTGATGGATGGATGTCAGGCATCTTATCGAGAGCTCAATTTGAACTTCCACGCCTTCAACTGTGGCCAATTTCTTCATAACAATATTTAGTAATTGCTCTTTTGAATAAAAATAGCAGAGCAAAATCATGAGATATTAAATGTAGTATACTAAAGGGAAGAGTTCTGCACTGCGTTTTATAAGAGTTCCTGCTTCTGGCTTTGAGATGGTGTTAACAATAGAAGGGTTAGCTATCCTATTTGGGGTTGTATTACAGAATTAAGCCTACAGTCAATATTGTTTCTCCTACATCTACAACTATAAATAGGCCAACTCAGTCTTGCAAGAGCAGACCAAGAGGAGAAAAGAATATATTCATGGCGATTTATTACCCAATCCACTTCTACTACGGATCAAGAACAGCTTCGCCTGTGAGACAGAGAGGAAAGCCAGTCAGGCAAAAACATAAGCAGTAAAATGGAAAAAAGTATATGAGAATGACAATTTCTCAAAATGAGCGCATAAATGGCTACATTTGTGTTAGGGCATTTACATACATACCAGCCATTTCCTATGTATTTACATATCTAACACCTAAACTTTACTTTTTACATTAATACCAACTAAAATTTTAATATCACATAAAAATATCATTATTTAACTTATAAAAAAGTGAAATACACCTTTTCATGTATAAGCATGGTGGCAAGTAAAAATTGAAGTTTAGATGCTAGATACGTGAATACATAGGAATTCAGCGGGTATGTATGTAAATTTTCCTTTGTACTATTGCAACTGTAAAACATACACGTAATCCTTTAGGCTTCTTAAAAGGGATATATCCTATTTTTTCTTCCTGGATAGCCACAATGTACCTCAACTGTTCTCTTTAATGTTTTTTTTCTCCAAATAATCAGTCAAACTTCAATAATACTTGAAAGGTTAATCAAAACTTCTAGTCTCAGATTTAGCTCACATAAGAACTGGATCTCAAAGAAATGCAAACTATTTTCCATATGTATATTGAGCTGTAGGCTGAATATACCAAGTGCTCAAAACAGCTCATAATTGCATAAAGATCCAAATGCCATTTAGCCTGTCCATGAGTACAAAATGAAACATTGGCTTTTACTTTAAAAACCAATCTCTTATAACATTAATGTTCATTTATATAAAACATCGTTTATTCTTAATTGCGTAGACAGAATACTAATGATTTGAATAACTACAAATTCCTTTGAAGATCGTTGCAAGGTTAACTTAATTCCAAAGATTATGTTCCAAACTTCCTGTATTTGCACTATTTTAGGGTTTCTTTAAAGTGCTGAAAGATGAGGGATAAGTTAAGATATTAATAGGATAGACAACCGTTGAGGGAGTATACATAATGTACATATAAATATGATATATGAATGTATAACTAATGTTGTGCATATAAATTTTTTTATAAAAATGCATGGTTAAAATAAGGGTGTACATTATTTAGTCAAAACTGAAAAATCAAACTGAACCGAACAAGTTTGGTAGATTCGGTTTGGTTTCAAAAATACATTTTTGCTTTTAGTTTTTAAAATCTCAATATTCAATTTTTTGTTATTTGTTCGGTTTTAATTTTCTTTTAACCGAACAAACCAAAAAATCAAAATTTTGAAATTACATGTAGTGTACACACACAGATATATATATATATATATATATATATATATATATATAAATTCTTGACGTTTATTCATAACTCAACACCATTTAACAACTAAATTTTGGTTTGTTCATAATTTGACCGTTTAAACCGAATTAAGTTTCGGTTTGGTAAATTCAATTTATAAAATATTGATTGGTTCAGTTTTTGGATTTCGAATTTTGGTTGTTGTAATCAGTTTGACCAATTTGAAAACCGATCCACCCAAACAGACTAAATGTTCACCCCTAGTTACAAATTTGCGATCATAAGCATATTTGAAATCTAGACTCTTTGGACATCAGAGACTCTTATTATTGCAATATTACTATACATTGATTCTCCTGCTAATATATATATAAATATAAATATATAAATATATATATAAGTTGCAATTTAAATATATAACTTGAATCCTTCCAAACAGGATCTGACACTATCAATTTCCTTTGCGAAGAGTGCAACATCCAACAAGCCTGAACACCATAACAACTTAAAAATTTGCCCTCAAATAAAACGAAACAGCAATCAAGCTTCATATGAAGCTGAAGGAAATACAATACTGCCGAATTACTTACCCTAAACCATCATTATTTTTAATTTTCTCTTAAAATTACCTTCAGGAGACTATGAATTCTCTACCCATATTATTGATCACGACTTTAAAGAGGCAGTGAAGGAGGGAGAGCCTGGTGCTTCAAGCGACGGTTCAAGCGATGGGGAGAATGGGAGTGAAGCGGACTTACCTTGATCTGGAAGAAGGGGAGGCTCGAGCAGGGGGCTTCACGAGAGGGGATCGTCGATTCGCGACGCGTTCGAGAGCAGGGGGCCTTCACGAGTCGAGACGCTATAACCTCCTTCAGCTTCGCTAGGGTAGCGAAGGTTTCGCGGATGATTGAAATTTCTGGATCGGTAACGAGGGCCGCAGGGTAGATCCCGCGGCCCCGCGTTGTGTTAAATTCGCGGCCGGTGGCCGCGAACGCTTAATTCAAATGACCATAAATTCGAATCGATCGCGGTTTGGGGCGCGCCGCGCGAAAAAAGCTACCCAAACAGCCCCTCGATGTATTCTCTTATATATATA